CATTTGATGCCATAGATGACATTGACTATTGCTTTCTTTATTGTTTTGCAGAAAATACTTGATGCTATAGATGATATTGACTATTGCCCTCTCTATTGTCTTTGCAGAAAACACCTGATGCCATGGATAATATTGACTGTTGCCCTCTATATTGTCTTTGCAGTAAAAACATTTGATGCCATAGATGACATTGACTATTGCCCTCTCTATTGTCTTTGCAGAAAACACCTGATGCTATAGATGATATTGACTATTGCCCTCTCTATTGTCTTTGCAGAAAACACCTGATGCCATGGATGACATTGACTATTGCCTTCTTTATTGTTTTTGCAAAAAATACTTGATGCTATAGATGATATTGACTATTGCCCTCTCTATTGTCTTTGCAGAAAACACTTGATGTCATGGATGATATTGACTGTTGCCCTCTTTATTGTCTTTGCAGGAAGCACTCAATGCTATAGATGATATTGACTATTGCCCTCTCTATTGTCTTTGCAGAAAACACTTGATGCCATGGATGATATTGACTATTGCCCACGCTGTAATATGGCTGTAATCAAAGAATCCGATCATTCTAATTTAGCGCATTGTACATCATGTTTCTATTCTTATTGTACATCATGCAAGGAGTCATGGCATCAGGTGAGATATCCATTATTGTCAGACTGTAACCTAGTGCTTTATACCACAGTCAGCTGGCGCACACATGATAATAAAATAAATACGATATTTACTATATGGGGGCCGCCATCTTGAAATCCCTTGCATACGAACACCTAATTACACGAAGAACCTAGAACACTTTCCTGGGGTATTTAAAACTAAAAATTGGCATTCCAGCTCAGCAGCCAATCAGCGACGGCCTAATGCTTAGATGACAATTTCGGTTTCAAATATCCCGGCTTACAAAACATACAAAACACCCAAAAAGTCTTTCCAGCGAAAATAAAGTATTCTACAGTATATACTTGTGCATTGTATGCAAATACATAAATAAATAAATACAATGACTGTATGAAACATTAGCATACATGTATGTAACAAGAAACATTCATAAAAATAGATTTCATAACAAATGTGGCATCTTATGTAGGGAACAAAGTGTGTAACACTGGAAGGCAAATTGAAAGAAATGGCAGAAGCAGATGCTGATAGTCAACGTGCAGATGCTAAACTAGTGGCACAGAAACTTAAACAGTATTTGAAAGAGGAACATGCATCCAAACAAGCCATTAAATGTACGACTGTGGCATGCCCTGGATGTTTGGTCAGAATTGAAAGAAATCAAGGGTAGGATTCTATATTAGTCGTTGAAATGACTAGTGTTATTAAAACATTTAATTTTTGGGTGCCATTGGGATTTGAATTTAAACCATTGAAATGACTAGTGTTTAATTCAAATACAGTTCAAATTTTATAGCATTTTCCATTTTGTCTTGGTTTTCAGCGTTTTATGTGAATGTTTGGTGTAGTTTTAAGTTGCTAGATTCCTAATATATGACGAGGTATGTGAATCTCACTGTTTTCGTGTCTAGAAAGTTCACAACTGTGTCTTTATTTTTTAATATTGACAGGTGTAATCACATGACATGTGTGAAGTGTAAAACAGAATTTTGTTGGCTGTGTCAAAAAGCAATCGTAGGTTACGGACATTTCTCTTCATGTGCTGCACGTGGACTAGATGACCCTCGTCAAGACTATGTCGCACCCATCAGAAGAACACCTGTTAGACCACAAGTGGAGGTAAAGTTAATTGCCAATGGATGATTTTTCGTTCACTGCAACATCTTGTATGTTGTGGAAAGTCATGGCATTTGCTGCAAAAATCAAACAATTTGAATTTGAGATGTTTTTACTTCATCAAAATTTACCATTATCAAATGTGTTCAGCACATTATTAAAGTGTGGTGGTCGTCGCACTGTGCATGTGTGACATTTGTGTTGATGGATTTTCCCACAATCCAATGCACTCTTCAAATGAAAATCACAAGTATGAGTTTTGATGTGGGTGCGACTTGCCCTGATGACCGCCGGTGACTCCTTTGATGTCTTCCAATCACCTGAAAATTACCTAATTAAAGCTTGGAAATGTCTCAGTTCCTGTTCACTGATCGCGCAACAGTCAAAGGCGCCATCTTAGTTTGAGACCCATATATATCACGCATGTGTGACAAGACGATTACCGCCATTTAAGCATTGAAATACGCCAAAAATACTTTAGCTTACTGGTATGTCGAATCCTACATGATGTTGTGTTGCCACTGTGATGCTATGACTTATATCTCATAGTAAACGTATCTCATAGTAAACGGTTAATTGTCAATTTCATAAAGTGATGAATACAACTCACCAGTATAATTTTGTATAACGTTGCAAAATCTATATCTGAAAACAGCATTTGATATCCATACTTCATAGTACCGGTATATGAATCTGTCTGTCACCGTCACACACATTTTTTACTCCCATGTGCGAAGCACACAATGGGAGTCTTTGCAGTTAGTTTGTCTGTATGTGTGTGTATGTATGTGTGTCCGTCTGTTCTACTGCTATCTCAAGAACCATACATCAGTTTTTGATGAAACTTGGTGCATAGATGCTCTGGGCCAATGCGCAGATTTGATTAGTTTTTTTGTAAAAAGCCATGCATATTAATTATCTATTTTGCATAAGAATAAGCTGATTTTTAGCTGTTCCAAGACTGCTCCACTGATATCTAAACAACCACACATTGGATTTTGATGGAACTTATGCGCAGATTTGATTAGTTTTTGGTAAAAATCAGTACATATTAATTGCCTAATTTGCATAATTAATTAATTTTCAGCTTTTGATATTTCAAGTAGTGAGCATTACATTTCAATGAAACTTGGTACATAGATACTCAAAGACTATGCAGAGACCTGATTAGTTTCAGGGTAAATAATTGTGCATATTAATTACCTAATTTGCATAATTAATTAATTTTCAGCTTTTCCACTGATATCTCAAGTACTAATCATCACATTTCAATGAAACTTTGTAGATGGATGCTGTAGGACAATAGACATCCTGATTAATTGTGGGTTGAAATCTGTACATATTAATTGCCTATTTTGCATAATTAACCAATTCTAAGCTATCACACTGGTATCTAAAGTACTAATTATTTCATTTCAATGAAACTTAGTACAAAGATGCTCTAGGACAATGTATAAACCTGATTAGTTTGGGGTTAAAATCTGTTCATATTGATTCCTAATTTTTTGGTTCTAATCACATTTCAATAAAACTTGGTACATAGATGGTCTGTTACTTTGCGCAGACCTCATTAGTTTTACACGCAAATCTGTACATATTAATTTTCCGATTTGCATAATTTGTTTTCAGCTTTTCCATCAAATTATTTTTAATGTGTCTTTAAATACTCTCAGCACATGGGAGTTCTTTCTAAGCTTTCTTTGATCTTGATTTGTTTTAAGGGGAACAAAAATCAGTTAAAAATAAATATTTAAACAGAAACTATTATCATAATACTAGCATTGAAAACATTGGATTTAGTATTAAGATGTCCAAGGATGCGTTTGAATGTGTTGTATAGATGTCATTGTAAATTGAACTATTCATGTAACATTGGGACAATATACGTAGTAAAATGTATGTAGTATATGGATGAAAATAATTTACTGAAGTAAACAATCGTTTCAACACTATCATCAATCAAACTGTGTTTTTGATGGAATTTTATGATTTTATCTTTAACTAACGCAAGCAGGAAAGAATGTATTATAAAAATTTGTAGCTGTAATGAAAAATAACCCCAATAAATTAATTCATTGCTATGGTAACAGTGTCTCCGTATGGGTTATACATGTTGAGTTTTTGTTCATATTCTGCTTTATATCAATTGTAGCATTTTACAAATGCTGTAATGGTTCAAACTAACACCATTTTTACTAATATAGAACCTGGTGTAAATATTTGATTTGCTAATGAGATGAGATAGGTGTCATGTGATATATTTTAAAGCTTGAGGGTGGGAATTGAGTCCCAAGCTTTAATAACAACACACGCTAAAAACGCAAAGGCTCATGGGTTGACGCTTGTTTGTAAACAATGACACGCTATGGCCATCTGACGCATGTGCAGGTGACGACTCCCCTCGCTTTAAATACAAATTGAACAAATTCTGAAAATCTCTACTGGAACTATCATTAATTGTTGCCTTCATTTGTTTTCTTGACAGAGTCAAGCTAAGATACATGTCATATTAAGTCTACATCCGGAAAGAAAAAAAGATCTTGTGAAGTGTCCATGTTGTCAGCAGCAAAACTTACGGGAAAGTAACAACAATCATTGCAAGTGCTGGTGCTGCGCAACTAATTTCTGTTGTTCTTGTCGAAAACGTATCAGCGGAAAGATAACTTTGCATTTCACTCCACCAAGTTCATGTCGTCAACACAGTGTTATAATAAGATAGTTTAGTGTCATGTCCTAGATGCTGTATTTCAACTGAATCAGTTTAATTCATAAATGATTAAATTATGGATACTGTATTTGTTCTTTTAGTAGTACAACTCTTATGCAAGCATACATAAATCAAAAGCAGCATTTATTGTATGCTGTATCATTAAAATATGAATTATTTATAGGCACACCTCTGTATAAATTCACATAAACATGTGCTTCTAATAGAGAGAATATGGTATTTGCTTCTGTAGAAGTGCATCCCTAATAGAAGCGCACATAAAGCAAAAATAGCAGTTATTGTATGCTGGATTATTAAAATATGACTTATTGTGAGCATAGACACACCTCTGTAATTAAGTATATGTGCTACTAATAGAGTGAACACAGTTGTATTTGTATTTAATTCATGGCGCATGAGTATCAAGATCCCTGTGCTATAAGTCATCACACTGTACTGTATTTGATATATACCATACAATGCACTTAAAATACTTAATATATTTATATGACATTCACCACATGAAATCTGTGGTGATTTACAAATGTGAACCGTGTACTATTGAAAATTACCATGTGTTAGACTAGCAAATTTACATTTACATTTAACATAAATGAAATTTTATTAAAATAAGAAGCATGTTGGAAAACAACTTGATCAGGAATTTTTGGAATTGGAATTGAGCTGTTACAATGTGTAACAACTACTCGAGAACCAAGAAGAACGATCGAACATTCTAAATTATTGACGTTGTGATAGCGCCCTCTTGTGGCAATATCTACGGATCCTGACTTTCAAAGCGATTGTATACGTAGTTTTCATTGTGCATATTCGATGCAAGTTTTCCGAAGTTATTTTAGTCTGACCCCGGAGTTTTACTGTGGCAAATTGTATATATTAGCAATATCGTTCACAGGTGAATTAGAATGAATAAAACGATTATTGGCAATCTACCTACAATGATATGCTTTGTTGATTTTAATATTTGTAAATTCATACTACATTTTTAATAATATGTGAAATATACATGTATATATTAGAAATTATTTACTGATCACTATTTAATAGAAAAATAAAAGTTGTATAATGATAGCCATGCTTGCTTATATAAACATACCCCTTTCAATGTATTAATCACATCCACCCACATCAGTGAGCTTACAACTGTAATATGGTATCATTTAGACTGGCAAAGTCGGGACTTCTTTTTAGTTTTACAAAAAATATAGTTAATTGTCAATTTAGCCTTTTTAACATTATCGCGAAAACTACCGTGACTGCGAAAGAAGTTCCGTCGGGATTTTTGTTGCGATCAGGTTAGTTTTTGTGATCATGTTAAAAGGAGTAAAAGAACAATTAATTATTTCTTTTTGTAAAACAAAAAAGAAGTCCCGCCTTGGCCAGTCTAGGTATCATTCTATGACTGACTGTGGAAATTCCTACTGCCCTCTAGTGTTCATATTTAGATTTTGGCTTTATTTTCCATTGGCCATGTTCTGTTTAGAATTGGTTGTATGTTGCAGCAAGTAGTTCCACTTAACTACATCTATTTGAATATTTCAAATGAAATCTTGGCTTATAATTCATTGTGTTAATTTTTGAAAAAAAAATTTCTTTCAGCAAATTTTGAGAGCTTTTTTTTGACGTTACTAGTGTTAATTATTCTACAAATAATATGCATACTCTTGACCACAGGTAGTATAGGGGTTATTGTATCATCCCCATGATTGATAGACAATGATTCTATCAGGAGACGATCCCCTGCCCTGGCTGAGTTTGTCACAGACTATGGTGGGGCCAAAAATTAACCCCCTTGTCACCATAAAACAATTTTATTTTAAAGAAATGCCAAAGAAACTGAAAAATAAATTTGAATTTCAGTAAATATGTTAAGAATGTCCGCAACCTTATTCTATCATGGAGAGCACCCTGTTAATTGGGTAAATGATGCCAACGTAAAATTGCGCCCTCTATCGATATAAAAGGCATATATCGATTTCTCACTTTTATCATAGCTCACTTCCTTATTTCACAGTTACCCACAATGCAAGAATGTTGACAGCCATGTTTTAATCAATACGTTTCCATATATATTCTAGCCATTGTTTAAATTCATTATATCAATTTCAATATCTATTCAGTTTTCATATTCATTCCAGCCTTTTGGAACTTAGTTATCAGTTATAAGATAGGTTCCATGTTCATTCCTACCTATTTTTTTTCATTTCATAAGACAGGTTGCATGTTCATTCCTACCTATTGTTTCATTTCATAAGATAGGTT